AGGGCAAAGGCAGAGCCAGGGCACTGCCGTGCCTTCTGAGCTCTGCAGTTTGCACAGGACTTCAGACTCACTGGTTTTAAACTGATTTGGTAAAAAGTTGTTCAACCCGTAATCAACAGTAATTCTTTTTCTAATATTACATTTTTACATTTATTCATGCTTTTGCTATGGAATGGCAGGAAGAGAAAACAACAGAAAAGAGAATGAGAAAGAGAGCAAGAACATGTTTTTATATATGTGTGAAAGACTTTCTCCTCTTTTCCATACTTTTATCCATGAGAAAAGCAGCAACACAAAAGTTTCATTTTACCCCAAGATTCTGATGAAGCAATATTTTTATAACAATTTTCTTAAAAATTTCAATTAAATTAAGTAAACAGTGCTTGCAAAATAACTTTGCCTAGTTTATTAACTAGGCATGGAATTATTCAGGTATTTCATACCAAACAATAAAATCTCATTTGACAACCATGCCCCTGCTGCATTTAATAAAACACAAAGTCTCCCCATCCCATCTCATTATATTAATTAGTACAAGGAAATACTGATTATTTCCATCTTCATATTACTTGTGTTTACTATTTGTGCTTCACAAATTTCTGGTGCAAATACAAATCTCAGGTTTCAAAGGCTGCTCACAGAACATGACCCACGAAGACTCACATTACATTTCCACAGCTTTGGACACTGCCTGGCACCTCAGCCTCCAGGCACAGCCTTAATGCAAATATTAACACCATCAGTCCTTCCTCAGATGCAAGTAGTAAGAAAAGGTCTTTCTAATGGAGGCCTGGGTTGAGCTTTGACCCAGGGATGCAGAAAGCTCAAAATCTCATTTCTGTGATCTACTGTCACGTTTTTTTTCCCTGTGTCATTACTGGACACCAGGTGTGCTTTTACATGTGACACCTGAACGGCTCTCACTGACCTAAAGGTTTTGTACCCCTATATTAAGGTAAGAAGGGGCTGGGCTGCCCGGCAGTACGAAAAGTACAAGAATTATCCTTGCACAATTTAGCTTTTCACCCATAGACAGGTCAAACTGGTCTCAGGACAACTTCTGTCTTCTGCTCCCCCCACCTGACTTCATGCAAAATTTCTTGCAGCCTCCACTAGATCTTGGCCTCTACTCAAAGCCTTAGTGTAGCTCAAGAAAGGAGACCCAAAACAGATTAAGGAAGGATAACAGATGTGTTGAGATCAATCCTTCAAAACCCCACAGAAAAATCACCAGAATAGTCAAGAGGTTCAGGCTACGTTTTTAAAAATGTTCAATTTCAAATGCTTTCACCAAACCTAAAATTTGGGGGAAAAAAAAAAAAACAACCCACACACAAAAAAAAAAAAACCACCACACAAAAAAAAAACACAACAAAAAAAACCCCACACAACCCCAAAAACTCTCTTTATCCTTACAGTATTCAGGAATTCACCACTGTCCACTTGTGAAAACAGACAGAACTGCAACAATGACTCATTTTCTATTTGTATATGTATTATCTTACCTTTTTAAAAAAGAAGTTGCTCATTAATAATCACTTGGACTTAGAAATCACAGTGGAAATGACTGCTTATTGCAACTCCAATTTAGAGTTAAATGCAAGTAAATAAAAAAAATTATGTCCAAATATGTTTACATACAAATATTTCAAGACTGGCCTCCTGGTCAAGTGGAAATACGTAAATAAATGCTATTCAATAATTGTGTTCTATAGTGAAAAACAACAATTTTATTCCCTTCTGAAAATGTCCAATCCAGGGTCAAACAAGAGTGATATTTCTATCTGGGTATATAATTATGCCTTTATGAATGACATAGTAATAATCTTTCCCCTTCTCCCCACATGTTGTGTAAGATCAAGAAAACCCATTAGCAAGCCATGCTAATACAGTATCAGGAATCTATAAAAACTAAAATTACAGAAATCAATCCAAACAAGTAAGCTTCAGTCATTGTCAAATAATCTAACATACTAAATAGCTTAAAACAGTAGCTTTTTTAGTTAAGTCTGTTAGTGTTTAATACAATTTCAGAAGTACATAGTAACATAACTAATTATTAAGATTATTTTCTTCTGTCACAAACTGACTCTACAACCAGTCTAGTTCACTCTTTCTTTTATTAGCACATGAAAATCGCCAAGCTCTACATTCTTCTGCAGTTATTGAATGTAAAATTACTTACTAGAATTGCCTTACTTAACCACATTTCCAGCACTCTGGAGGTTATACCTCTGCTTCTAGAGGCAGAATCTGAGAAGTTAGTGTCCAAAATAATCAACAGGAAATTTCAGCATGAAGTGACCAAGTGATGAAGCTGACTAGGAGTCTTGTTAGTTCCATAATATTTTTGTATTCTTTCAAACATTTCTGCAGTTTTTTGTTATTAATAGCACTTGATGCAGGAACAAAGAGAAGAAGATACAGAGACTATATAGTAAGTATCATAGGATAAAATGAAACCTAACAGATCAGCAAATTTGGTCTCCTAAACATGTTTTCGTTCTAGCTGACAAGAAAAATTCATGACCCGAGGGATTTTTCCTCACCCGGTGCTCAGACACTTACCATTTCAGCTTCACATCCTGAAAGACTGGCTGACTAAGGAGACATATTCCAAAATAAATCAATGGCTTTTGCTAGCTTGGCCCATAAGTTGACTCTGAAGGACGATATACTCCAATTCCTGCAGAACTGGAATGCAGCTAAGAATGCAGTAATCGCTGTATTTAGGAGATACTAAAGTCAAAATGAACAATCCAGGCTTCCAAATAATTGTGAATGGATAGGGAAGAAAAACAGAGTACTGAAAGATATCTGCTTGAATTATTCTCCAAAACTGCGCCCAGCTCTCTACATCACTGCATAAGAATTTCTTTATGGTCAGGAGTACCAATCATCAGTCATGCACCTCGTGCAAATTAATATTCTTCCTTGATGGAAAAAGAATAACCTTCTGGTTTTCTTAGAATCACTGTCCTCCTTCTCAATAAAGGCATGTCTACTGGTAAACTTCATCATACAATGACTACATAAAATTATGCTCGTATAGTTTCTAGGTTAAAAGGGAACCAGACATGCAGGCACTACCATGATACAACAACAATAACGTTTCACAGCATCCCAGTGGCAGGCCACAGTGGGGTTGCAGCATATACATGAACTGGAAGCTAAACGCCAATCTAATCTCTAACATGACAGTAGTTACAAACACCAGAGTCTTATATACACGGCTGCTTCCACTGCTGCTGGTGAATCTATGCTACAAAGTTTGCTAGTTTAGGCAAAGCTCCCACTTTGGACGCACTTTGAGCAAAAGCTATTATTTCAAAGCAGCCTCCTGAAAAAGTCACTTGCCAAGGACCATATCACTTGCCAAGGACCATAATACCTTTCCTACATTTTCCGTTTGCTGTCAAATATTTACAGCTAGTACTATCTCCTTTCCTAACAACAAATCTCCAGCTTTGCAAGCCAGAACGCTACCGTGTTGCTGTCTATCAATTCCTGCATGCAGCAAGCCTCTTCAGCATGAAGTTTCTTGAGTGCTCTCCAGATTGATAGGAACTCCAGCTTGTTTATGCTTAAAGAGATTTGACAGCTTCTAACAGCCACTTAAACTTTGATGTCCCATGGAAGCCCCCCAGCCTATTTTTGAAGCATCTGTTTCTAAAATTTCTGGAGTTAGTAGTGCCAAGAAGAAGCGAGGCCTTATTAACATCAGATTGGCTTTCTACCACACTAGAATTTGCCAAGTGCTTTCCAACGAAGCTACAAGATAACTTTATGGACTTTCGTGCTTCTGAGATACCCTTGAAGCCTCCAACTGGGGCCATGAGAAAAGCCTGTAAGAGACCCCAAGACCTCACTCGCCAATTCTGAGCATGTAATGGCATCATGATTTACCACAAGAAAAAAAAAAAAGTCTTCATCTTGAGCTACAGTCTGCGGTCAAGGTTGCAGAATTCCGTACAAAACCCAATAGTGCTGCACTTAATAGTACAGTTAAAACTTACTATGAACAGAAAATAGTAAGCTGCTTAGCAAATACATAATGTCTGTACATAACATTAAAAACTCCTCTGAATTTGCTGTAATTCAAGCTACTGCCCACTTAAATTAATATTTTACCCTTGCATTTCTCGATGGTGTAGCTAATATACCTAACACAGTAAATCACCACCACTTTAAATTGGAATGGCGGAATGTTCTTTCATATTGGAATAGAACTACTTGGAGTATGAATGTTAAGAGCATTCATAAAGTCATGGAATAAAATTTCAGAGACTATCACTTAAAAAGTACTGTCCCAGAAATTTTCATCCTTTCCTAGATTTAACTACAAGCACCTTCTCTATTCATATTTGGTCTGAGATGGATGAAATTTTAAGATAGCTTTATCTATAGGGATTCCTGATATTATTACCCTTGTAATTTAAAGGATGAGTGCTACTAACGTAAGACTGATGTGGTCAAGACCATCATCAGTGCGGTGAGCAAGACTAGTCCCTGCATATAGTACTGCATAACTTTACCCCTATTTTTATTCATGCTTTATTCATGTAGAGTTAGAAAATGAAGCCTTTCTCCTGAATCACTTCCCAGTATCAGCCTCCTGGGACAGGGTGAGGTGCACAGGCCATGCAGTTGTAGAAGCAACACAGAATTATTGCCCCAGTTAGGGATGTGGGACCAGGCCCTACACCTGCAATACACTTTTTATATGCATTCTCAGGCAATTTACTCACTTTGTAACCCAGCTATCCCTCTTTAGAACAGAATATATCATCCCTTTTCCTCTCCCTTTGCCTGTTCTGAGCCCAGACAGTAAGTTCATGAAAGTAGGGGACCATCCTT